ATGAGTACGTATCCCAATATCCCGACCGAATGGGTGGGCACGAATGCCAACGCCCCAATCCCAATAGCACTTGACGGACAATTCGGTCAGGACAGTGATGACCCAATTGAAAAAAGATCACGACATATATTCCATGGAGGAAGATGTTGATAGCATCAACAATGATATCTCCCTGAGCCGAGCATTGTCCGTGATGATGGAAGAAAACATCCCTGCTCAAGTCGAAAGATGGTCTCCAGATGAATCCGATGAAGACACCAGTATCCTGACGCCTCAGGCGGACAGGGCGGAGGCTCAGATGAAGCATGAGAGGGAGTCCACAGGACGAACCCCCGCGCCTCACCTCAAGAAACAACGGAATGAGGACTATGAGCTAAACTTCTCACCACTGAAGGAAGGTTTCTTCCGCAATGCCACCACCTCAGGTGAGTGGCAACCCTCGATTCCAGCTGTTGTTGAGGATGAAGAAATGGTCGGACAACCAGCTACGCATGCTCACCTAATAACACAAGACGAAAATGATGTGGAGTTCTTAAATGCGCCCAAACCACCGGAAAGTACCTTCATTCGCCCCAGATCAAATGCTTCAAGCAGGGGAAGACCCAAGATACCAAGATCAGGGGCGAGATCTACTTCAAGGAGCAACAGTGCAGTTCCCATGATGGAGGCACGTTGGGACCCCAATCGCGACTGCGCGCCTCAGGCGGAGAGCAGATGCCCAGGAAAAGCCAACAGGCCAGAAGGCGCATGTAGGAACCCAGTGTGCAAGAGTTGCTCGGACGTTTGCAGCAAGTGTAACATGCAATGGCTGTGCACGGAGTGTTACCCAATGAACGAGCATAACTGCACGTATCTCCTCATGCAGTCTATTCAGGACCAGGCCAGGCTGGCGGAGGCTAACGCTCAGAGAGAGTTTCTGACCAATGAAGCGCAGCTGGCCGAACGGGCTCGATTGGACAGAGAAGAATTAACTGGAACTGTGGTCGAAGCTAGAAAGACGTTCGAGGCCGAGGGGGTCGCCCTAGCCATGGCTGCCAGAGAGCGGGAAAATGCGCTGATAGAACATTTGCATAATCAGACAGAGGCCGTTAAATGGCAAGTGGAGCGGGAAGCCGAAAATAAATGCAGAGAATTATTGACTTCGGAGAGACAGGCCGCCATGATGGCAAACAAGGAGTCTGCCGACGCCAACGCGGTTGCCGCTGCCGTCGCGGTGGCCAGGATAGAAGGGGAGCAAGTCGCGACAGTCATGGCGGAACGAGAAAAACATGGCTTACAAGAAGAGCTCAAAATCGCCAGGCTGGAAGCAACTAACACCCACACCGTAGCTGCGAAGATGACCAACCAGAACAATCTCTATCTGGAGGAGCTTAAATCGCATGAGGAAGCTAGATCTTCCCTCCAGCGCGTAACTTCGAGCAATGCTAAATGCCCCGCCGGCTAAGCCGACTGGATCGAACATACATCAGTTGTCGACGGCTCAGTCGTCGGGCATAGTATCCGTCCCTACGCAATTTGATCAGACGACATCGGCAAATGCGGGAGCATCGACCCTGCTGGTAGGAGG